AAATACCCAGATCATGACAAGGAGCTACATGCGATGAACTATGCACTTGTCAAGTTCAGGGCCCACCTGCTCGGCTCCAAGCCGTTTGTGATCTATACAGATCATGCGTCACTACGCGTTGCGACTCAGTCGCCCCACCTCTCGCAGAGGATGGCTAGATGCTATCCTTCTTTGCGGAATAACTTCGAGGTGATGTATAAGCCGGGAAAGCAGAATGCTTTGGCTGATGCGTTCTCACGCAGACCAGACTATGAGCTTGCTCATGTTACAACTGTAACGCCGCCGGTGACGGATTTGATAAGCACCGCGTATGCGGGTGATGGGATGTGAGTAGCGCTGCTACGGGCTTTCGGGAGCAAGGATTTTGGAAACTCGGACAAGAAATTGTCACTAAGACTGCGTGCACGATTGCACCAATATTCGTTTGATAACGGCTTGCTATATTGAAGCACCGATTCAACGGATACACCACGAATTGTGATTCCTCATGATGAGGATTGGAAATATCGCATCCTTTATGAGGCCCACGACACGTCACTCAGTGGTTATCTCGGTCGTGAGAAAACGTACAACCCTGTGAGTCACCACTATTGGTGGTCCAAGCTGTACAAATGGACGAGCACCTATGTGCGCACGTGTGATACGTGTCAACGGGTGAAACCATCTCCAAATGCGGCTGCGCTGCTGGCCAGCTTACCGGCACCCATTGGGTGCTGGCAGTTCATGAGTTTGAACTTTGTGTCTGGCCTGCCGAAAGATTCGGCGGGCAAGACGGGTGTCGTGGTATTCGTCGACCGGAAAAAGATGGCTCATTTGGCGGCGATGTCAGACACCCTCGACGGGGTCGGTACAGCAACGCTGTTCGTGTATCGTGGTTTCTGACAACACGGACTCCCAGAGTCGATTGTCTCCGATAGCAACCCCCGTTTCACGGAAAATTTTTGGTCGACTATCTTCAAGGTTGTAGGCACCAAGTTGGATATGTCGACAGCGGATCATCCGCAGACCGTTGGTCAAACCGAAAGGGTGCATCGCGTCATCGAAGACGTTCTTCGCAGCGTCTGCGCTGTGAAGCCGAGGCGCTGGAGCGCCATGTTGCCACTCGTAGGGTTTGCACTGAACAATGCAGTG